AAAAAAAAAAAAAAAAAAAAAGGGAAGTGAAAAAGGTTGGTATTAGATAAGAATCTGTGGATATAGATATAGAGTGATGATGGTGGGTACTTACCTTCATTGGACCAATCAAACCATTTAAAGTTCCAAGAATAAATCTTGTAGTGAAAGCCATCACGTAACTAGAGCTAAGGCCAAATAGTGCGTTGAAAATGATGCTGAAATCAAATGAGCATGATTGTTGTTATGGTAAAACATATAATATAGTGTTAAAATAGCATCTACTTCACTGACATGTATACTAAATACTACTTACGTAGAGATGATCCCTACAAACACAACAGGTTTTCTACCATAGCGATCAGCTATCATTCCCCACAATATAGATGTGAAACATCTACCAAGGTGGAATGCAGATCCTACAAAACATTTTTTGTGGTTACTCATATGTAATACTTATGAACACTACAAGAGTAGGAACACTAAAAATAATCTTACCCACATAACCAGCATAGGCACTAATATCTTCCTCTGATTCTGCAATATTAAAATCCCTCACCTGAAAAGTATACGTGTTTGCCTCAAATGTTGCAACGTCCCAAGATGCATATAATTGCATACCACGTGGAAGATTACTTATTTCATTAATGTCAATCGTTTAACCAGATCATAAATTTATTTCATTATTAGTAGTATTTCATGATAAGTAAAATGGGAATACGGAAAAGCAATTAAAAATTGACATTAATTGACATTGGCATCCCGAGAGTCCGAAATAATCTATTAAAATATAAAGTATTCTATATAATTATTTATTCAGGAAAGTCTATGGAACTTTATGTTTATGTATTAAGAAAAAGCTTGAAGATTAGCCGTTAATTGTACATATCTTTATGCACAATTCACGGTGTGAATAAGAGCATTGAGAGGATTATATTGGATAGAAATTTGATGCAGGAAATGTTAATTTTTTTACGTTTAGTTTACTATTTAAAAAATAACATTTTTAATTAAGAATTAGAAATGAATTTTACATAAATTTTTCAAAAAAAAATATTACTAAATATTAATATAAGAGAATTAAAAATTAAATTCTTTAAAATAAAAATAAAATTTTATTACCTTAAATATGTCATGATATCTTTATCTGTTTATTTAATAAAATAAAAGAAAATTTGATTCCATATATGATATAAACATTTTTGGAATATTTATTATTAACTAAACAGACCATCATCAGAATTTATAATTTTCATGATTAATAATTCTCGTAGATGAAACCCCTTGTAGTTTTCTCTTGTAGTTGCAAGCCTGAATTGAAATTTGATATGATCTCTATTCCCAGAAAATTCCTCAAATGATTTGCAGAACAAGCAAAAGGGGTACATGCAGTATGCAGCTCTAACTGCATTATCAGTTATCAATATAAAAAAGAATATGCTAACGGAGGCCACCGGTTATATAAGAAATTAAAAAAGTATATATATATACATTGTCTCGTATATAATTTTTAACTTAATTCATTTCTTAAACTGGTTAGCGACCCATATAAAAAAATAAAACTTAAATCGAAACATATCACTTTATTTATTGAAAACAATCACAGTAAACAACAACGTTAGAAAATCAAGGTACGCATGATCATGCAGTGTGATGGATCACTATGAAACATTGAAACTCACCATGAGATAAAGGAAAGGGTAGAGAGATGCTATAGGTAGAGCTGCACAGAACAAGAGAAAGAGTGATGAGAAATATTGAGTTTGCAATAAAACAAAAAGAAGACTAAAGTTGAGTACTCAGTACTGCTGCATAACACGACGATCCATATGTTGAAGAGATTTCTAAAGGTAACATCCTTTTTTTGCTCTTTGATTAGATCCACCTTGCAACCAGGGCAACCCTCGTGGTAGTGTTTCTTCAACAATGGATTTCCAACGTTGTTGCTCTCCTCCATGTTTTCACACAACTATACGATTGCTCTCGTGTCCCTCTCTTCCTCTCCAACCTCCTTATTAATACAACGTCCATCAGATGAAAAGTTAAAAAGCAGATGAAAATAAGGACAGATAGTAAAATAATAAATATGTCAAAAGAAAATGCATTTGACACTTGTTAGATTTAGAAGGGTGAGAAAAGTAATCAGAGGTGGATCGCTCAAACACATGGTTTCGTACTCTAGTGAGCTCTCTCTCTCTCTCTCTCCGTGAAGAACATTCAAGATCTTCGGTAATATCTACATTTTTTCTTGTATTTTAAAGTACTTTTGAAATCCATATATGCGTCATATATATCTACATAAATATATCTCTCAAGATTGAATTTTTCTTGCATATTTGACGAAAATAATTCTTGTTTAGATTTTTTTTTTTTTTTGTTGAAGTAGATTAATTTAAGGTAAATTTTTAAGATATTAGTGTGAGAAAAAAATATAAATACATATCAATAATAAACTTTTAATATATATATATATATATATATATAACATATTATTGATCTATATCGGAGATCTCCCATCTGATATACACAATTTTCTTTTTACATTTACCTTTTAAAGCATATCTCTTATATTACCTTATATCATTTGGTATACTCAATTCTCTTTTTACATTTACCTCTCTATAATTCTTATACTACTTTTTTTTCTTTCTCTTTTTATCGTCTTTGTACTCTGCTACTCATATACATATTATCTTCTTACCTTTTTTCTTTAAAATATATAAAGGTAAAAAGTATTTTTTATACTAGTATATACACACGTGTTTTATTTCTAAAATTTTCAAAATTAAAATTTTAGCCTTTCAAAATTATTTTATTTTATTTTATTTTTTTAATTTTAAAATACATCACTTTCTGTATTCAAAATATTTAAATAACATTTTTTGATTTAAGAAAGATGTATTGATGAGTAGATTGAGTTTGGTTTTTCTTGAAGTTGTAAGAAATACGCAATAAGTTATAATTTTTAACATAATTTTTATATTAGTATATACACAAGTGTTTTATTTCTGAAATTTTCAAAATTAAAATTTTAGCCTTTCAAAATCATTTTATTTTTATTTTATTTTTTTAATTTTAAAATACATCACTTTCTGTATTCAAAATATTTAAATAACATTTTTTGATTTAAGAAAGATGTATTGATGAGTAGATTGAGTTTGGTTTTTCTTGAAGTTGTATATTAGTTGGATATGGTGATTCTTGATTTTGATGGATCCATGTTATTTTGATGGTGGAATCGTGTTGTGCATGTTGTATAAATGTATTTTGTAATGTATGTGGAAAATTTATTAAGTTTCAAGTGGATTAGTCCACAATTGAGTTCTGCATGGGTGCATAACTAATATCGCACCAAGCATGCCTTCATAGCGCAAGGGCGTGGCTTCAACCAAGTCTTGTTCATGTCAAACACAGTATTAGTGGTACCAAATGTAAGGAGAGAGAATCATCTTAGGTTGGAATCACATTGAACGTGGTTTGAATGACAATGGGTGTGAGGAGAAAGAATTATCTATGTCTAAATATCTATGTCGAGTGCTAGTGTAGTGATGTCAAGCATGAGTCAGGTAAAGTCCATGTGCTTGAGTGGAGTCAGGCATGGGTTGTTGCCACACTAGACATGAAAGAATGGGAGGTTCTTTGTCTTAAATATTTCATTGTGTGGATACATGTTACGATACTCTAAGAGTTCGATTGAAACCCTTCAATAAGTATATTGGCTTATAAAATGTAGTTATTTTAAGTTGTAAGTTACATGAGTAGTATTAATGATATGTTGAAGTTGTATGATGAAATTAATGTTGTTATTATGTTGTTCTTGTTGATATGGATGTTGTATTTGTATGATGCTTTTATTTTATAAGCTTACCATGTATTTTTATTATGGTGGGAATTGTTATAATCATACATTGGTATGGGGAGCAAATCAGAATTAGTAGGATTTGTTGGATGATTTGGTGGAGAGTCAAATTGGTGGTGGCTCATTTTTTTGAGGTTACTCAGTAGTAGCTTTGTCTTGTTTAGTTATTTACTCAGTAGTGGAGAAAGAATTTTAATATATATATATATATATATATATATATATATTTTATTAGTATATAAGTTTTTCAAAATATAAACTAAAATATAAGAATTTTTTCTAGAGATGCGGATTGTTTAAATACAAAACATCTAAGGATAGACGTTTTGTGTTCATTGTCAATTTGAAGACAGAGTGCTTACCCTTAATCATTTTGTGTTCAATTTCAAATTAAACGTAAAGCACCCAAGGGATAGATTTTGTATTTAAGGTTTAGGATTTAAGGTTTAAACGACCGTCACACCTCCAAAAAAAAAATCTCTTTAACAGATTTAAGTTTAGGAAAATATGTGTTTTCTATTCATTTTGTATTTCTAAGCATTACATTCATCCTTAGGAACATTTTGTTTGTAGTGTTGTCTATGTGACAAAAACAATTTATTTTAATAATTAATTTTATAAATAATTTATTTTTAGGCAAAGAAAAAATATATTTAAAAGGAGTACAAGGGGTACTCTAACCCATAATACAAAAAAACTAACTTCAAAATCTTAGACATAGATATATGAAACTAGCAAAAATACCAACTACCCAATGAATACAATCAAGTGCTTGGACAACTGTTACTAGACATTACTAACTCTCAAAACTAAGTAGTGAACTCAATGACAGTAGCATCTTAAACGATAGATTATGACAGTATCGACAAGAAATAAAATATCATCAACAGATTGATCTTCAAACGACAATTATAAGAAATAACAATCAACACTTAGAAAGTAAGACAGGAAGAACCATATCAGGAGAAATTTAAGCAAGAAAATGAGTCATTATTAGACCAAAGAGCAAAAGGGTATTGAAAAGCTAAATTTTTAGCCCTTAACCAATTCCAAGATCTTTAACTTAATTAAATCCACCACATCCTCAGAATTCATAATTTTTTGAGAGAAAACTGTCTCATTCCTTGCAAGCCAAATTGACCATAATGTTACCAACCAAATAAAAGATCACCGCACCCGGTTAACAACATTACAATTTGGAACTCCCACAAATTACTCGAAATTAGCCAAACTACTACTATTTTGAACAGGGGAGAATCCAAACCATTAAAGACAAGACATCCATATTTTAAAAACATAGAAACATTCAAAAAAGACATCCATGTATGCTAAAATATAATTCCCAAAACATCTTCCGAATTAGTAAATTTTTAAAAAATCAAATATGTATTTTGACCAACGTCAACTTTTTAACTATTAAAAAAAATTTCGGTGCATTGTTTCGGAGTGAAAAGCATTACTCTAATATTTAACGGCACTAAACACTTTCAAATAAAGACAAAATTTGAGATTTACGTTGTGTTAAAGTCATCGCACACAGCACTTCCGAATAAATGAATACAACGATGTCGCCTGTCAAATCAAACACGTGAAATTGATATGAACAACTATGCATTATAGGTGCGGTTATAAATAAAGCTTAGTATGCAAAGGAAAGTAAAAGAAGTAAAAAGTAAAAGTCTTAATTGCATTTTTATCTCTCGAGTATTACAATTATACAATTTTGATCTTAAAGTTTTAATTAGATAATTTTAGTCTTTTAAAAATTACAATTGTGTGATTTTGGTCTTTTAATTTTCAATTGAACAATTTTAGTCTCTCGAATATCATAATTGTGTCATTTTAGTCTCTCTCATTAAAAATTTAATAATTTTAATATATATACATACAATATTTTGAAATTATACAATTATTTATCTATTTAAGTTAACGTATATTATAATTTTTATTATTGTATCAAATAATATATATTTATTATTATTAAATAAATAAAATTTATATATTATTATTTTTATAATATTACTGATAAATTAATATCAATAATATTATTAGTATATTTATAGATAAACTAATAATTTGATAAATATAACTTGTTATATATTAATATACTTTTACAAAAATATAAGTATATTAATTAGAAATATATATCTGATCTTATATATTTATATTTTTGTAAAAGTATATTAATATATATTAAGTTATATTTATCAAATTATTAGTTTATTTATAAATATAGTAAAAATATTATTGATATTAATTTATCAGTAATATTAAAATATTAATAATATATAAAATTTATTTATTTGGTAATAATAAATATATATCATTTGATACATTAACAAAAATTATAATATACGTTAACTTAAATAAGCAAAAACTTGTATAATTTTAAAACATTATATGTATATATATATAAATTTTAAAATTATTAAATTTTTAATGGAAAAGACTAAAATCGCATAATTATGATATTTGAGGGATTAAAATTGTTTAATTAAAAATCGAGGGACTAAAATTGTTTAATTAAAAATCGAGGGACTAAAATCACACAATTACAATCTTTTAAGGACTAAAATTACTCAATTAAAATCTTGGGGACCAAAATTGCATAATTGTTATACTTAAGGGATCAAAAATGCAATTAAGCCAAAGTAAAATGATTTATAATTTTTGATAAAAAGAAAAGAAAAGAAATTAAATTTTCGTTTTAATTTTATAAAAGTAGAAGAAAAAAATAAATATATAATAAATAACAAATTATCCTCAAATAAAAATAAATAGTAAAATTAATTTATTAATAAAATTATATTTAAGAATAATTCAAATTTACTCTTTTCAATTTTAGAATAAATTGAAAATAGTGGATTTGAGTTTAATTCAACTCTTCAAAATCGGCTTGTAAGTTTAGGGTTGTCTTTCAGTTATATACTATTTAATCTCTTAATCTCTAGTCAATATGGGACTTGAGTTTTTCCCAATACACTCCCTCATGTCCAGCACTATTGGGCTTGGTACGTGGATAAATGATGGGTGGCTCCTTTTTTAATGATCTAAGATAGGCATTCCTTTTTAAGGATCTAGGATGGCTCTGATACCATTTTAGAATAATTGATTTGAATATAATTCAACCCTAGAAAATCGACTTATAAAATGAGGGTTGTCTTCCACTTATATACTATTTAATTTCCTAAACGATGTGAGACTTAGGTTTTTCCCAATACAACCCCTCATGTCCAATACTATTGGGCTTGGTACGTGGATAAATGGTTGGTGGCCCTTTTTAATGATCTAAGATTGGCGAGACTTGAATTTTTTTCTCAATACACTCCCTCATGCCCCATGGTGCATGTATCAATGGT